ACATAAGCACAACCTGTGTGTTTTCGCAGAAAAAATGAAATGATCAAATTAATGGTCGCTCGGAGTTTGGATCGACAATAAATTGATCACGCGCGTTCTATTTATAAATGTTTTTTTTCTATTTACCGGATTCACGAAAGAAATTGATAAAGCTGTTACGGCAACGGCATACGCGAATAGTCGATAGACGTTTCGGCGTAATCGTTACCGACTAAAATAAATGTCTAAATCGACTATCCTTCTATAAAATATTCTTATGTTAATAGTACATAATAATTTATTAATCATAATAGAAATAATAAATTACCTATTGGCATTTGGAAAAACAAATTAACAYTGGGACTACATAATATCATAAGTTATAAGCAATAAACATTCGAATATTCGATAATGCTGTTAAAAATTTGTGGGTGCTAATATGAAATTTGGGGGTGCTAARCACCCCCAAGCACCCCCCAAATTGCGCCTATGCTAGTCACGCCATAGTAGAAAACCGTCTACTGGCGTTTAATGAAATAGCTGGGAAGCTCATTGTATGGCCTTTGGGACAAGCTGCATTAAATAATGTAAAACAGTTCGATAGGCTTCGTGGAGAAGATTCTTTTCCAAATGTTGTTGGATGTATTGATGGTTGTCATGTAAATATATTATATCCATGGGAAAAAGAACTAAGATGCCCAAACTTGACAGAAATATGTTCTGTAATAGGAAGCAAGTGCCTAGTATAATATTATAGGTTGGATAAAATTTCAGTCTTATAAAAGGTACAAAAACATTTTACTCAAGTACTTTACAAGACTGTTTTAAATATACTTTTACTATTTATGAATTATATTAATTTTATGTACATTCATTGTATTTAAGAAAACGTCATATTTTTTATAATTATAATAACTTAAGCAGCAACTTGTTTTAGGGAATTGTTGATGCAAATTTAATGTTCATTGATATATTTGCTGGTTGGCCTGGTCGTTCTCACGATGCAAGAGTATACCGTTGTAGTAAGATTGGCCAAAAAGTAATTAATGATCCTGAATCTGTTTTGCCACCATCATGCCATATTATTGGAGATGGTGCATATCCATTATCTGAAGGCTTGATGATACCCTTTAAGGATAATGGACGTTTGACAAGAGAACAAAAAATATTTAACAAAAAATTAAGCAGTAGCCGAATATTGATTGAACAAGCATTTGGGAAATTAATAGAAAGATTCAGGAAATTAAAGTATGTATACATGTGTGATATACAGAGATTCATTTTATATTATTTGATATAGGTACTAAGTAGAATTGTATTTTGTATTATAGACATATGGATATATATAAAAAAGATTTGTGTGGTAAAATTGTTACTGCAGCATGTTGTTTACATAATGTTTGTATGTCGGTGAAGGATAATTTTGACTGTGATGCAATATTACCAGAAATCGACTCTCTGGAATCCAACGAAGAAGAAACTATAAGTGGTTTAGAAAAACGGTATATGTTATGCCATYTATTAGCTATCTAAATGTATATAAATATAAAAATAAGTTTCTTTATATCTAATTATGTGTGTATTTATGTTTTTAAGGCTCCTTTCGGAGTTCTACATCATAATTTAAAAATTTATAAAAAAACATTAATTTTTGGGCAACTCTAGATTTTAGTTATTGAATTGCTGAGTTTCTTTTCATAAACGTATTACAAACTTCATAAAAAAAAACAATATTAGTTTATTTAACTTTCAAATAAATTATAATTATTAATATAATCAAAAACAAATAAAATTACAGTAACACTTATTTTACTATACCCTATAGCATTGCAAAATTAATAAAAAAAAAAAAACATATAGAACTAATAAAAACAAAGATAATAGTAACTGTTTATAGGTAATAGCAATATAACATGATAATATATTATATACCTAGATGTCAACATTAACCTAAATTAAACATTTGTTTAAAAAGTTCCAACTTTTGTAACTCTATTTTGTTGGCTTCACCCAACTTGCTTACAAGTTGTTCCTGTATCACCAACATGGCTTCTTCTCTTTTTTCTAATTTGTCAAATCTAATTCGGAGGTATGGATAGAATAAGAAATTGCATTTCATGAATAATACCAAAAATTATAAGTCCACTTACCGATCATTAAGTTGTGTTGCATTTTTATTGATTGCATCAAGTTGTTTATTTTTTAAACCTTCAAATTGTTGAAACCAGACCGGTGCTTTTGGCTGTGTGATTTTATCTATACATGATGTTGGTTTTTGTATTGAAGTAGAAGCTAAAACTTCAACTTGTGGTGTAGGAATCAACGTTGTACCAGAACTGGATGCCAATTGAACATCAGAAGATTCGTGTAATAAATCTACGCAACACAGAAAAATATTAAAAAACATTTATTTATTTGTTGATATAAAAGGCATCTACAAGTAAAAAAGTGGATAAGTAGGTATTAGGTAAAGCTTTGATGTACTAGTTACTGCAGGTTTTGTATAGACTATTGTATACATAAATACAGATAGGTTAGAACACTAAGTACATACTTTTTATACAGAGCATACATTTACAATGCACATTTAAATATTTACAATAATAAAAATGTATTTTATCCAAATTATTATGTATAAAATAAGAAGTAGTTTAATATTTCATGTTTGTCAGTTATTGGAGAATTGGAATCATTTCTAGTCAGACTATTTATAGGTGGTTCCTTTTGTTTTATACTGTATAAAACTCCATGTGGTTTTCATATTATTATTTGATAAAGAAATTAGTTTAGTATAATATAAATGAAGAGCTTTTTTTTATCAAAAGGTTTAAAARATTTCTGTTTAGTATAGTGTTCATTAAGCTTTAAGTCAAAAGGCGCTTTAAGTTTTGCCTATTATTAATTAAAATAAGAAGACCGTTAGTTATCCAGATTTTTAATTTTCTGTTTTTCTTATAATTGATACTGGAAATAGAAGATACTTTACTAGAATTAGTAATCAGATCAGTTATTTTATGGTCAAATTTATATACTAATATGTCTACATCATTATTAATAAGTACATTTTGCCAATCATAAGAGAAAATTAAATTATTTAACAAATTGTAGATTCATTGTTTTTTTCTTCATAAATAATATCCTTTTTAATAAAAATTTCCAAACTAAACTGAGCTGCACCGTAATATCAGTTTTAATTACAAATGAATTCGCACTTAAAATATTAATATGTCTATTAAAAATATGATCAATATACAAGACATAGAAATATCAGAGATCCTAGTGTAACAATTCATACAAAAAATAAAATAATAAGATACAAGCATATATAAAAAAAAGTACCTATGTACAATAATATATTCAATTTTACCTTTTGGAGGCGAAACAGCCTGCCTTGCAAATGGCGAAAGGGCATCTCTCATCGACTCATAATACTGCCATTTAATGCCTCCACTTCCAGATTTCTTAACGATAATGATAACGATTTTTCCGGGTGTGCGGCAATGATGTGTATTTTGACTCACATAAATCTTCTATATTCCCGTGAATTGGGTGCAAGAAAAAATTACTCGTTCAAACTCTGTGTGGAAATTATCATAAATTTTGTTAGCGTTTATCAGTTATTTTATATTTAAATACTAATTTTTAAGAGGACTCCACACTCGCATGCGTTGTCTCCGTCTTACAAACGTATAGAACATAGCAAAAACTGTAGTACTTGYACGGGACAAATTTTCTCTCTCAGTATTTAGAATTTAGAATCATCAGAATTCCACAACACATAGGTAAGAACATTATCTGTGTCATATCGTGGTTTTTTTTTCGATGGCACAAACCACAAATTTTTAATAATTAAATAAAATAATTTTGTAAAAATGTACCTATTTTCTTAAGCTGATAACTTTAATTATATTTATGGTATTAAAAAATAACGACACTATGACAGATAAAGTTCTTACCTTTATGGTGCGGAATTCTAATAATTCTGCTACAAATACTACGAGAGAACAGTTGTCCCGCGCAAGTACAATTTAGTTTAATACATATTTAGTTATAAAGTATAACAATGGGACATAATAACACAGATCGTACAATCCCGTATATGACAAATTTTCAGTGGAAACAAAAATTGTATAACGTATGACATTTAATAGTGTACCTACTACCTATAATAATATAATATTATATTAAATATTATTCTATATGTAAATATGGTGCTTATTGCATATTGCATAGGGCAGAGCGTAAGCAATTTTTTATTATATTATATTATTATTGTGAATGAAGGTGAATTCATTGAAGTAAGTTCTTTTGATATATTTATCTAGCCACTAGGTAGGTACCTACTTACAATAATTATTAGGACAGTCCCGCCGTAAGTGGCCAAACCTCCTGCACAAATGGCATATCAACGGAGGCCGTCATCGTGCCCTCCCGCGTCCGCGAAAAACATTTTCAGCCGGTTGTGCGGCCTGTGTCGACGTCGTAGCTAATTGAACTATTTAAATAATTATAGAATACGAATGTGTTATAAACATATTATAATATTATATAACTTAACTTTTTAAATATGTTATTATTGAAACTAACCAACACTGAGAGGTGTCAATTTGTGAGGTATTGTAACAAACTAATAAATTACATTTAATGTGTAAATAATTTCTTACAAGTTATTAAGAATATAAAAAATAAAATACTCTTACGTTTTCGGGAAGATGGAACTTTTAAGTAATACGTATACCTAGATGTATTAAAATGTTAATGTTACGTGTTATTTTGTACCTTTTCAAATTAAGAACTTTTGAAATTCGATATAATATGTTGTGCAAAATTTGTTATGTCCTATAATATTATAATATATATTATGAAAGAAAATTACACAAATATTTTGCAGTTACTTAAATCATGATTGTTTTAAAGTTATCTTCAATAATTTTAAAATATACACGATATACAGGGACCCACACAGCAAATTCCAATGAAAACAATTTGATAAATATTTAGTTGTAATTTTAAATTAAATATTTATAATAATATATTTACCCAATATTTAATATTTTTTGAAAATAATTATTATAGTTTAAATAAAAATTTGATATTAAGTTAAATTAAGACAATAATTATTAAATATTTAAAATATATTCAAAATTAAATATTCATAGTTAAATATTTATTATAAGTTTAACAATAGCCTTAATTTAAATGTTTGTAATTTTATAATTAAAATATATTAAATAAACTTGATAATACAATTTTAAAAATTAATTATAATAAAATATTTAAAATTTATTTGTTTATAAATATTTAKTAATTATAGTATAGTATAAACATTACATAAATATATATATATATATATATATAGTGATAAGTGACATTTAAAAGTTCGTATGTGCATACCTATTGCAGTCCGCAGATGATAAATTTATATAGTATAAACTGATGAGATAGTGAGATTATATATTATTAAAATTTAATGTAATTGTACTTTTGTATAACAAAGTTTACCTATATATACTACGTAGTTCATAGCAATCTTATATTTTGAAAAAAAATTGTCTGAAACAATTCATAAATCATTAATACATTCAAAGGTACACAATAACATATATAGTCGTGGAGCGAATTTTGTTTGGGATTGACCAATACGCGTAATTTATTTCAATAATAAAAAGTATTTCCTGCAGTTCCGTAGTAGCTAGAACTAGATGGGCCCCGGTGCAAATTTAATCTGTGGGCTGTTGCCCCTATAGGCGCACATTGGGTGTGAATATAGGGGGAACTGATATAATTTATGGTACACAGTCCGTAACCCCACTGCAATAAACTGCATTGCAATAATTTTAAATTTTTACTCATTCATATTCTTACTTTTTAATTATAATACAAATATATAATTAATTAAAATTTTAATTAACTTTTCTTCAATACTTTGTATAGACTAATTAATAACTAATAATAAAGTTGAAATTGTATATATGTTAGTGTGACCATAATAATTTTATTCTAAAGGGGGACACTTAAAAAAAGAAGTACGTAAAATGTAAATACATAATAATAGCAATTACATTACATTTCATTTTATTTAAATATTATTGATAAACAAATCAGACAAACAATTAGATACTTCATATATTTTAAAATGTTAAAGTTTTTACTTAAACAAATTTTAATTTACAATCACAATTACAGTTTTAATACTTATCCTTGGGGCTTGGATACAAATTTTTTATTATTATCAATTCATGATTGCAAGTCTGATACAACGTCCTGTAGAGTGTAATAGAATCATGAATCATGATGTACCACTTCAATTTTTATAAATGCGGGACCAAAGTGGGACATTTAGATATGCGGGACGCACCTCTGAAAAACCGGACAATCCCCCCTAATGAGGGACGTCTGGTCACACTAATATATGTTAATGTCATCGCTACTCTTTATTTATTTAAACTATTAAGCAACTATACTGTACATAATATATTATGTATTCAAAATATTTAAAAATAATTATATTGTTACATGATTTGTATTATGAA